AATAATTGATATATTAAAGAGAGAAAGATATTTTTAGTTACCACATGATATCTATTATCTTATAGCAGAAAAAGTATTAAGGTTTCTTAAGATAACAATTGATGCACTTTCAAAAGAAGGAGAATTAAAATTTATAAAGTTCTGGAAATCATTCGAATACCTAAGAACATGGCAAAAATTACCAAATCCGATCTCTCATATTGATAGTTTCATGATGTTAGATTGCTTGCATTTAGCTATGATGATTCTATTTATCCTTAATAGATTCTTAAACTCTTTACATTTTAAAAATCCTAAACTTATTTTATTTTAAAGATAAACTAGAGTTTTTCGAAGAGATTTGGCTATAAAGCTTTGGATAAAATATTGGGTATTAATAGTACAAACAATAACAATAGCATTTAAGAAATTTTATAATAAAGATGACTATCTTAAATTATATGAATGTTTGATTAGTGAAAGGCAATTATTTTTGCAAGTAATTTATGAGTATTAATTATTATATTTTGGTATTATTTATTAGATATTAAACATAATTAATAATTTATTATATAATTAACAATAATCACAACACAGATATTTAAAGATTTTAAAAATCTTCTGAATTTACACATTAATTATTATTTAGTACAGCATGCAAAAAACTATGCAACTTTGCTGAATATGGGTGTGAAGACAAAAGAGATGATACACTGCGTATTTAAAAATATAGTATCATAAACAAATCAGAAAAATATAGATCTTGACCTTCTAAAATAGTATACAATATTGTTTGCAATATATCATCTATTTGATAGTAGTATTGATGGACATTTTTCTTTTATAAACAATACTATAATGAATCTTCCATGTTAATTCAAATATTTAATGAATAATTGGTTTATTATCAAGAACTCTTTTGATTCAGAAGATATAAGTGAAAATATAATTAAAGTATACTTTATTAAATTGCATAATTTTTAATTAATAATATTTTTTTATTTTTGTTAGATGAATACATCTTAATTTAATCTTAAAAAAGTGTGTACCCAAAAAAAATATTCGAAAAAAA